GTGGCCTGAGGGTGAAAACAGTGCTTATCCTAAGAGTTATTGTTCCTGAAGGTCTAGGGTGTGACTGGTTTCTGATAGAAGCTCCTGTTTGGGCTGTGTGTGTGGATGTGCGGAATTGAGTTTACCTCCCGTTAAGTTTAGGGCTTGTCTTCCTTTGACCTCTGCCTTGGCCAGTGAGTCACCATTATGCGAAGTGCACCCCTGGTTCCCCTAGCACCCCTTGTAGATAGTTGGAAGTACCTACCGATTTCAGTCTTAGTTCTGTAAATTGTGAACAAGGGGGAAAATGGATGGAAGAAGTCCTCTCTAGGCCATTCCACAAATGTAGGGTTTGCTGAGGGATTGAAGGCTCCTGCATGCAGCCCTGCTGGGGACCATTAAGGATGTATCTTCCAGTCCTACGAAGAGACAAGTGTCAGTAATTAGAGATCAAGCACTAAGCCTTTAGACCTCACAGAAGGTGTGAGTAGTTTCAGCAGACCGAGTAGCTCTAGATTCTTTGCAGGAGGTGACTGCTGAGCCTTGAATAATAATGGCTGCCAATTGTGGTCCATTTTCTAAGTGCCTGGCTATGTGCTCAGTTTTGACATCATTATCTCATTAACCATCACAAAATCTCCCAGGGAGGTATTATTAGCCCAATATCATAGATCTTAAATGCTAAGTGATGAAGCTAGGGTTTGAACTGGGGTTTACCTTACTTCAAATCTCCAAAGTAGAATTTGGAAAAGCGGTGATGGGGACAGCTGAGGACGTTTATGGGTTTGAAACATCATCTGCTGAGCAGAAGTTGGGATTGGAAGTTAGCCTATCTGAATTTGATGTGACTGATCATTCTTGAAATACTTCCCTCAAGGCTTCCAGAACTTCCCAAAGGTCTGGCTGCTTTTCTGGTCCCGGAGGTCAGTTCCTCAGTCTCTGCTCTATCTACCCTTCCTTCCTCTCATCCACCCTCGAGGCTCAAATACCTTGAGGACCTGACTACCACATTTTCTGTCTCCTGCTGGGATGCCTCCCTGAACTGCTCCACCCCACCTGTCACACAGAAGCTCAAAGCCCAAACATCCTCATTCCTTTCACATCCCACTCCAGTTTGGAAACACCGCTATCTTTACACCGGAAAGACATCCTGAATCTGTCGCTTACTACCACCCTTGTCTCAGGTGCCATAACCTCTGCCAGGATTATCGCAGATGTCTCCCTAGTTGTATACCTCACTTCCTCTTTAGTCAGTTGTCAACACGGGCAAGTGGAGTGAACATTTTAAAATGTGGAAGTCCAATCGTTCCCCTCCCTCTGCCTCACCCCTCTAACCATACCAGCTCCTGTCTTCCCTTTCTTTAGGCTGTTCACCTTGCTCCAGCCTGGCTGGCCTTGCTGCCCCAGCGCCCCCCACCCCACCCCAAGGTTTTGCACTTGTGTCTTTCCCTTTGCTCAGATACCATCTCTCTATTACAATGGTCACCTTCCCTGTAATCTACCCTGCTGTACTTTTTTTCAGAGTCCTATATGTTAGCTTCAAACATACTAACATGTTAGTTTCAAACATAATAACATAGGAGAGTTATTGTCCACATTAGAATGGAACTCTATGAGGTTAGGGCTTTTTGTCTGCTTTGTGTGGCCTCTGGTCTATACGTGGGGAATAAATTTGTTGAATTAATCAATGAGGATGCTTTTATATTGCAAAAAATACAGTAAAAATAAGGAATAATCAGAATTTTTCAGTGAATGCCAACTATGTACAAAGTACTTTATTTGTACCTCTTTTGGCACCTATTTTTGCAGTGAGTTTATTTGTGTTATGCATGCAGGGCCGTAGTTTGTAGGACCCTGGGAGCAAACTGGGAGGTGTATATTGAGATGAGAATCAGAAAGACATGGTGCTCTTTATTTCTCTAGTCTCAAAACTTCCTCAAACTGGGGATGATACTTGAGTCAAAAAGCTTTTTGTGAATATGAAAGGAGTTATGGTCATGACCAGACAGGTGTCCTCATTGGGGCTGGACTTGCCTTCCATCCGTCCCTGCATGGTCCTCTGCATCTACTGGTTGTGCTGCTTTCTGGAGTGAAGGACATTTGTAGATAGGTTATTTCTTTTCTTTTCTTTTTTTTTTCATTTTTGCATCATTAATCTACAATTACATGAAAGACATTATGTTTACTAGGCTCCCCCCTTCACCAAGTCTCCCCCACATACCCCTTCACAGTCACTGTCCATCAGCATATAGATTATTTCTAGATGTTATGTTAGGCAGCCTGGACTTCCACAGACCATTCCCTGGTGCCACAGTCAGGTTGGGTGGGTCGGGGGAGGTAGGGTAGGAAGGGTGGTTGACAGCTGGTGTGTTGGTGTTCTTATATGTCCTCTGCCTTTTAAAATGCAGTCCCAGGACATCAAGGCTCTGCAGAAAGACCTCGAGCAATTTGCGAAGCTCTTGAAGCAGAAGAGGATCACCCTGGGATATACCCAGGCCGATGTGGGGCTCACCCTGGGGGTTCTCTTTGGTGGGTCCCCCTCAGCATGTCTGACCCATGGAACCCAGGGACCACACCTCCCCTGGAAGGAACATTCTTGAACTCTTGCGCCTTTCCTCCCAAACAAGGGAGTGAGGGGAGGGTGTTACAAGGGCAACCTCTCCCCTCATCTTTAGAAGTAGAGCAGGAGGGGGGAAAATATATGGGCCTTGACTTCCCTTTGGGAAGAAGTGGGACCTTGGTATGGGATCTTGGGAGGGCAGGAAGAGACGGTGAGGCCCTGAGTCTTGGGGTCACCAGGGTACTGCCTGCTGCCTCACCTTGCTTCTCTTTCAACTGGCCTTCCCAGGAAAGGTGTTCAGCCAAACAACCATCTGCCGCTTTGAGGCTCTGCAGCTCAGTTTCAAGAACATGTGTAAGCTGCGACCCCTGCTGCAGAAGTGGGTGGAGGAAGCTGACAACAATGAAAATCTACAGGAGGTGAGGGTGCAAGGGGTGCACAGGGACCTGCTGAGGGTCCCAGCACTCCGTGGGGGTGGTAGCTCTTAGTGGGATGGAGTGTAATTCTTCAGTTCTGCTGGGAGACGGTCTGAAGCCTCTGGTCCAAACCACCCTTCCAGGGTTCTTCTTTTTTATACCATCCAGTTGATATGCACTTAGTAATTTGCTTGAGCCACCAACCCCATGGTACTGTTGCTCATCAGGTCGAAAACTTGCCCTCCCAGCTCTTCCCTTGCCATCTGTTCTCCACCCTCCCAGATATGCAAAGCAGAGACCCTTGTGCAGGCCCGAAAGAGAAAGCGAACGAGTATTGAGAACCGAGTGAGAGGCAACTTGGAGAACATGTTCCTGCAGTGCCCAAAACCTACGCTGCAGCAGATCAGCCACATTGCCCAGCAGCTCGGGCTTGAGAAGGATGTAAGTGCCCTGTCCCTGTGTGCCCCATCGCCTCCTTCCCCCGCCACCTCCTTTCCCCAGGTTTGACTCCTGCCCTCCAACCACTTTACATTTGTTGGCTTTGGGCCCAATGGGCAAGCAGAGCCAGACCCACCTCTAAGAGCTTAATGATCAAACATCACTTTCCCTGTGTCCTCCACTCTTAGGTGGTCCGAGTGTGGTTCTGCAATCGTCGCCAGAAGGGCAAACGATCTAGCAATGACTACTCTCAACGAGAGGATTTTGAGGCTGCTGGGTCTCCTTTCTCAGGGGGACCTGTATCCTTTCCTCTGGCACCAGGGCCCCATTTTGGTACCCCAGGTTATGGAGGCCCTCACTTCACTACACTGTACTCCTCGGTCCCTTTCCCTGAGGGTGAAGCCTTTCCCTCTGTGTCTGTTACCACTCTGGGTTCTCCCATGCATTCAAACTGAGGTGCTGGCCCTTCCCAGGAATGGGGGGCAGAGAAAGAGGGAGAGCTAGGGAAAGAGAGTCCTGGGATTTTCACCAGGGCTTTGGGAGTAAGTTCTTTATTCACTAGGAAAGAATTGGGAACACAAAGGGGGTGGGGGCAGGGAGTTTGGGGGAACTGGTTGGAGGGAAGGTGAAGTTTAATGATGCTCTTGATTTTAATCCCCACATCACTCATCACTTTGTTCTTAAATAAAGAAGCCTGGGACACGTAGGTGGATACTTTTGTCTTTGGTTTATCCCCTTTGGTGACTGGAGGGCATGGGGATGGGGATGCCCAATAGTACATATTAACAGGGCCATTAATGCAAATGACCCTGAGACCAAGGGGCCATGTGGACTGCTTACAGGGACACATGTTGCTGGGGAGATGTTAAGTGTGGCCTGAGGGTGAAAACAGTGCTTATCCTAAGAGTTATTGTTCCTGAAGGTCTAGGGTGTGACTGGTTTCTGATAGAAGCTCCTGTTTGGGCTGTGTGTGTGGATGTGCGGAATTGAGTTTACCTCCCGTTAAGTTTAGGGCTTGTCTTCCTTTGACCTCTGCCTTGGCCAGTGAGTCACCATTATGCGAAGTGCACCCCCGGTTCCCCTAGCACCCCTTGTAGATAGTTGGAAGTACCTACCGATTTCAGTCTTAGTTCTGTAAATTGTGAACAAGGGGGAAAATGGATGGAAGAAGTCCTCTCTAGGCCATTCCACAAATGTAGGGTTTGCTGAGGGATTGAAGGCTCCTGCATGCAGCCCTGCTGGGGACCATTAAGGATGTATCTTCCAGTCCTACGAAGAGACAAGTGTCAGTAATTAGAGATCAAGCACTAAGCCTTTAGACCTCACAGAAGGTGTGAGTAGTTTCAGCAGACCGAGTAGCTCTAGATTCTTTGCAGGAGGTGACTGCTGAGCCTTGAATAATAATGGCTGCCAATTGTGGTCCATTTTCTAAGTGCCTGGCTATGTGCTCAGTTTTGACATCATTATCTCATTAACCATCACAAAATCTCCCAGGGAGGTATTATTAGCCCAATATCATAGATCTTAAATGCTAAGTGATGAAGCTAGGGTTTGAACTGGGGTTTACCTTACTTCAAATCTCCAAAGTAGAATTTGGAAAAGCGGTGATGGGGACAGCTGAGGACGTTTATGGGTTTGAAACATCATCTGCTGAGCAGAAGTTGGGATTGGAAGTTAGCCTATCTGAATTTGATGTGACTGATCATTCTTGAAATACTTCCCTCAAGGCTTCCAGAACTTCCCAAAGGTCTGGCTGCTTTTCTGGTCCCGGAGGTCAGTTCCTCAGTCTCTGCTCTATCTACCCTTCCTTCCTCTCATCCACCCTCGAGGCTCAAATACCTTGAGGACCTGACTACCACATTTTCTGTCTCCTGCTGGGATGCCTCCCTGAACTGCTCCACCCCACCTGTCACACAGAAGCTCAAAGCCCAAACATCCTCATTCCTTTCACATCCCACTCCAGTTTGGAAACACCGCTATCTTTACACCGGAAAGACATCCTGAATCTGTCGCTTACTACCACCCTTGTCTCAGGTGCCATAACCTCTGCCAGGATTATCGCAGATGTCTCCCTAGTTGTATACCTCACTTCCTCTTTAGTCAGTTGTCAACACGGGCAAGTGGAGTGAACATTTTAAAATGTGGAAGTCCAATCGTTCCCCTCCCTCTGCCTCACCCCTCTAACCATACCAGCTCCTGTCTTCCCTTTCTTTAGGCTGTTCACCTTGCTCCAGCCTGGCTGGCCTTGCTGCCCCAGCGCCCCCCACCCCACCCCAAGGTTTTGCACTTGTGTCTTTCCCTTTGCTCAGATACCATCTCTCTATTACAATGGTCACCTTCCCTGTAATCTACCCTGCTGTACTTTTTTTCAGAGTCCTATATGTTAGCTTCAAACATACTAACATGTTAGTTTCAAACATAATAACATAGGAGAGTTATTGTCCACATTAGAATGGAACTCTATGAGGTTAGGGCTTTTTGTCTGCTTTGTGTGGCCTCTGGTCTATACGTGGGGAATAAATTTGTTGAATTAATCAATGAGGATGCTTTTATATTGCAAAAAATACAGTAAAAATAAGGAATAATCAGAATTTTTCAGTGAATGCCAACTATGTACAAAGTACTTTATTTGTACCTCTTTTGGCACCTATTTTTGCAGTGAGTTTATTTGTGTTATGCATGCAGGGCCGTAGTTTGTAGGACCCTGGGAGCAAACTGGGAGGTGTATATTGAGATGAGAATCAGAAAGACATGGTGCTCTTTATTTCTCTAGTCTCAAAACTTCCTCAAACTGGGGATGATACTTGAGTCAAAAAGCTTTTTGTGAATATGAAAGGAGTTATGGTCATGACCAGACAGGTGTCCTCATTGGGGCTGGACTTGCCTTCCATCCGTCCCTGCATGGTCCTCTGCATCTACTGGTTGTGCTGCTTTCTGGAGTGAAGGACATTTGTAGATAGGTTATTTCTTTTCTTTTCTTTTTTTTTTCATTTTTGCATCATTAATCTACAATTACATGAAAGACATTATGTTTACTAGGCTCCCCCCTTCACCAAGTCTCCCCCACATACCCCTTCACAGTCACTGTCCATCAGCATATAGATTATTTCTAGATGTTATGTTAGGCAGCCTGGACTTCCACAGACCATTCCCTGGTGCCACAGTCAGGTTGGGTGGGTCGGGGGAGGTAGGGTAGGAAGGGTGGTTGACAGCTGGTGTGTTGGTGTTCTTATATGTCCTCTGCCTTTTAAAATGCAGTCCCAGGACATCAAGGCTCTGCAGAAAGACCTCGAGCAATTTGCGAAGCTCTTGAAGCAGAAGAGGATCACCCTGGGATATACCCAGGCCGATGTGGGGCTCACCCTGGGGGTTCTCTTTGGTGGGTCCCCCTCAGCATGTCTGACCCATGGAACCCAGGGACCACACCTCCCCTGGAAGGAACATTCTTGAACTCTTGCGCCTTTCCTCCCAAACAAGGGAGTGAGGGGAGGGTGTTACAAGGGCAACCTCTCCCCTCATCTTTAGAAGTAGAGCAGGAGGGGGGAAAATATATGGGCCTTGACTTCCCTTTGGGAAGAAGTGGGACCTTGGTATGGGATCTTGGGAGGGCAGGAAGAGACGGTGAGGCCCTGAGTCTTGGGGTCACCAGGGTACTGCCTGCTGCCTCACCTTGCTTCTCTTTCAACTGGCCTTCCCAGGAAAGGTGTTCAGCCAAACAACCATCTGCCGCTTTGAGGCTCTGCAGCTCAGTTTCAAGAACATGTGTAAGCTGCGACCCCTGCTGCAGAAGTGGGTGGAGGAAGCTGACAACAATGAAAATCTACAGGAGGTGAGGGTGCAAGGGGTGCACAGGGACCTGCTGAGGGTCCCAGCACTCCGTGGGGGTGGTAGCTCTTAGTGGGATGGAGTGTAATTCTTCAGTTCTGCTGGGAGACGGTCTGAAGCCTCTGGTCCAAACCACCCTTCCAGGGTTCTTCTTTTTTATACCATCCAGTTGATATGCACTTAGTAATTTGCTTGAGCCACCAACCCCATGGTACTGTTGCTCATCAGGTCGAAAACTTGCCCTCCCAGCTCTTCCCTTGCCATCTGTTCTCCACCCTCCCAGATATGCAAAGCAGAGACCCTTGTGCAGGCCCGAAAGAGAAAGCGAACGAGTATTGAGAACCGAGTGAGAGGCAACTTGGAGAACATGTTCCTGCAGTGCCCAAAACCTACGCTGCAGCAGATCAGCCACATTGCCCAGCAGCTCGGGCTTGAGAAGGATGTAAGTGCCCTGTCCCTGTGTGCCCCATCGCCTCCTTCCCCCGCCACCTCCTTTCCCCAGGTTTGACTCCTGCCCTCCAACCACTTTACATTTGTTGGCTTTGGGCCCAATGGGCAAGCAGAGCCAGACCCACCTCTAAGAGCTTAATGATCAAACATCACTTTCCCTGTGTCCTCCACTCTTAGGTGGTCCGAGTGTGGTTCTGCAATCGTCGCCAGAAGGGCAAACGATCTAGCAATGACTACTCTCAACGAGAGGATTTTGAGGCTGCTGGGTCTCCTTTCTCAGGGGGACCTGTATCCTTTCCTCTGGCACCAGGGCCCCATTTTGGTACCCCAGGTTATGGAGGCCCTCACTTCACTACACTGTACTCCTCGGTCCCTTTCCCTGAGGGTGAAGCCTTTCCCTCTGTGTCTGTTACCACTCTGGGTTCTCCCATGCATTCAAACTGAGGTGCTGGCCCTTCCCAGGAATGGGGGGCAGAGAAAGAGGGAGAGCTAGGGAAAGAGAGTCCTGGGATTTTCACCAGGGCTTTGGGAGTAAGTTCTTTATTCACTAGGAAAGAATTGGGAACACAAAGGGGGTGGGGGCAGGGAGTTTGGGGGAACTGGTTGGAGGGAAGGTGAAGTTTAATGATGCTCTTGATTTTAATCCCCACATCACTCATCACTTTGTTCTTAAATAAAGAAGCCTGGGACACGTAGGTGGATACTTTTGTCTTTGGTTTATCCCCTTTGGTGACTGGAGGGCATGGGGATGGGGATGCCCAATAGTACATATTAACAGGGCCATTAATGCAAATGACCCTGAGACCAAGGGGCCATGTGGACTGCTTACAGGGACACATGTTGCTGGGGAGACTTGGTGTTGGAACCTGAGTTAATTTGTAGAGGGGCCCTTAGAGGTGTGAGCTGTCACTTGGGGCCTAGGGCAGTTTAAGTTGAGTGCTTTATTTCTGCCCACACATGCAATTATGTAGGCCCATTCCCTGGTAGGAGCTGGCTTTTGCTTTCCTCATTCAAAGTTCCCAGTGGATTTATATTGAGAAATTAAGGTTTAGATGTTTGTTTCTGTGTACCGTCCCAGCCAGAAACTCCACCTTGCGCATTCTTGATACCAGGGTCCCTTTGATTTCCACATAGGGTTTTTGCCTACCCTGGCCAGGAGTGATTCACCAAAGACCCTCACTTTAAGTCTAGGCTCTGCCACGATGTGGTTGGGGCCCTGCTGTGGAACGGTTCCTTGATGTGGAAAAAAATGCATTGGTGAATCTAAGTAGGAATAGAAGGGAATGGACATGGAGATTTGCAATATAAGATCAAGATAAGGCTTTCCTGTAGAAACGCTGCTTTGACAGGATCTTGATGTGGTGGAAGCCTCACAGAACAAAGTGTATACTGTACATGGGTTTGGCTGATCCACACTAGACCTGGTCAGTACCTGCTCTAGCTAGGGTACAGGTTTTCTGTTTTCTCTGGTAGTCTGATAAAGTTTGTAAAAATTCTATCATCCTCATGAACTGGACCAGACTCCTCTTACCTTACTTTAATAGCAGTGGAATGGTTTTCCTTTAAAATAGATACCATAATCACCTTTTTTCCCATCTCCTACCTCAGCTCATTTCATGTATTTGTACCTTTTCAATGATTGGGTTCCTTGTCTGTCTCTCCCTAAGAATCTGAGTTAGTTTTTCAGGCCTTACCAAGTCAATTCTCTCAAGATTTAGAAAGCAAGGAGTATCAGACCCACAAAATGAGTAAATAGCTAGGAGTTAATGGAGCTGCTCACTCTTTTATTTGGAAATGGAAGCAAAGCTCTAAAAGGCTAGGTTATGATCATCATGGTCAGTGGCAGGACTACCCACAATGGAGGAAGTTTTGGGGCTCTCTCCTAGGTTTTCCCAGAATGCCTTAGATGATGCCATCCAAGAATATTTATTTAAGAATTCAGTTGTTCAAGTCTGGGGCTTACATCTTCCCAGGCATGGCCTCTGCAGTTGATGGCTGCTGATCATCACAGACATTGTAGTGCCCTTGGCAACAAGGACCTACAGCTTGTAACTGAATTTCCAATTCCAACTTCCTGGAGGCAGCAATATCTTTGGCAGGAAACCTTCTCTTCTATTACCTTGGCTATGGGGGTCTGCCTCAGGCCTTGAATGGATATCCATAGCACAGACCCTTCCCCTGTTGTAGGCATTCCCTCCTGGGGAGGCAAGGGAAGAAGGGAGTATTTCTTAGGGCCCACTGGCACCCCACTGTGTCTACTCATGGCCTGGAGGTGCCAGCTGTGTGCTCCAGTGCCCTGGTGGTGGGCCCTAGGTATGGATGCCTACATGACACCCTGGGCACCGGAAGTCGGCCTCCGTGGCAGCCTGGATGCTGCAGCCAACACAGACCACATGGAACCAGACGTCACAACCATCACACTGAACCCAGCGCACTGTTTCTTCTTGGGGCAGGCAGCAACAAGGGGCTGCACAGGGTTCCCCGTTCGCAACTGCAGGGGGAGTCCTGGGGGTGCTCACTGGGTGCTTCCGAGGACGCCCACGTCGATTTCTGAAGAAAGTGACATAAAAACCAGGGTCACTGGAAACGTGTAGAAGCTTAGAACTCTATCCTGGATAATCAGTGAAGGGAACCTAGATAGACTTGCCTGGTTAGTAGAGCTAACCCAGGCCCTGCCATTACATCTCCAGCCTCTCCTGTTACACCTCCCATCCCTAGCCCTTGAGCAGAAGGCTACCTCCTAGCCTGGGCTCTAAAAAGGAAACAGAAGGCAGTGAAATACTGAGACAAAGATCTCTCAACTTACCCGCTGGGTGTAAGTGAGGTTTTCTCTACGTGGAGTTTCTTCCTGGGCTCTATATGGACTGGTTGGGCCCCCTCAGGAGTGTCTTTCTCATCGTCCAGTTCTGCTAACACTCGGTGAGCAGATTTCCTCCGATTTCTTGGGGGTGGCGCAGGAGTGATCCCCACCTCTCCAGGGGGAGTGGGAACAGGCATGCTCTGTGACAACCCCCTACTTCGGGAGAAGGTGAGGGGCTGGGGCTGGAGTTTGCTGAGGCTGCCGATGGAGTTGAGGATCAGTGTGGCTTTTGGGGCAGGGGAGAGGGTGCTGAGGGGGCGCTGTGGGGCCCCCTGGGGTGGCAGCACGGGTTGGAAACCAGGCCCTGTGCCTTCTCTAGACCTTGGGATGGTAATGGCAGCAAAATCTTGAGGTTTGACTCGGACTTGCTGAAACATGAAGTAGAACTCGGAGGGACTGGTTCCTGGGGGTCCTTCAGGGCCAAATGTAAGAAGGTCACCATCACTCAACTCCAACCTGTGACCCCTTGGAAGTCGGACATTATTGATCAAAGTTCCTGTTGATGATGGGGCACCAGATAGAGAACAACAAAGACAAATGGCCAGAGTGAGGAGTGGACAAATGAGCCCTGTTAGCTTTTCTGGGGAACATGAGGCAGAACCATCACACTTGTCATCAAATTCTCCCATTCAAAGTCCCTCAGCAGGTGACATCAGATATTAAGCTCCTTGTGAGCTGGTAATAAGTTTATTGTGCTCTCCCACAGGGCACATGGAGGGAACAGCTTTTCTCACTCTACTGAGGTCTTATTCTCAGACAAGCTCACTTTTACCGGGTTCCAACTCAAAAACTAGCCACCAGCACTGCTCAAATGCTCTGGGTTCAAATTCTGGTTCCCTCACTTAACCAGCTGTGTTGTCTTGTATTAAGTTAACTAACCTCTTTGTGCCTTGCTTTCCTTGTCTGTAAAAGGGATGATAGTGCACTTAAAACGGTGCATAACAGCATTAAATGAATGTTGTCGGCTATTAGTTAGTTACCTAATCCCCTCAACACTTTCCAAACAGACCTTATAAAGTCTTACATTTTACCCGTGAGACCCAGAGAGGTGAAGTGACAGGCCTGAGGTTTCTCCAGAGGCCAAATGCGTGAACCTGCTGAGGCTGACTGCCTCCAACTCTGAATGTTTTACTCCCTGATCATTAAAACAATTCAATCATTAACTACCTCAAACAGGAGTAAGGTGCCTCAGCAAATCTGGGAGCCATGTCAATGGTCCCAGAACAACCCCACCAAGATACTGCCCCCAGTGATTCCCGTGGATCTCTCCCAACTCCTGTTTGGCAATAGGGACCATGAAGTGTCAGCCCTGCAGCTTCTAGTGGGAAGATGGAAGTCTGGGTACAACCGTCCATCCTATCTGATAATGTGGGAGGCAGGCACCATCCCTGTAGAACCCCTTAATGATTCCTGCCAGGAACTGCAACTCTCCAGGCAGAAGGATGCCCTGCTCACTGCTCACCTTGGCTGCTATGGTCCTCCAGGCTGACCCTCCAGTTATCACCCTGGTGCTCAGCGTGCAGCTCTGCATGGACTCCAGAGATGAGGCCAGTGTCCCGCTGGGGCCGCAGAACCACATCACACAGGTCAGCCCTGCAGCCCAAGCGATAAGTGCAGCCAGCCCTGCTTGGTGGATGGAAAGTGTAGAGATCGCCGCCTCTGCCACCCCCTATTCGCAGTAGCTGGAAGCAGGGCAGCATGGGCGGGGCCCTCTCTGCACACCTCATCCACTTCAGGAGTCCATCACCTTTCCCACTTCTGAACTATGCACGGTGGCCCGAGTGTACCTGTCTGATGCAAATCTGAGCCGTGCTTTGTGCAATTTCAACTTTGAGCACACTCCCTTAGTGCAAATTCAGAGTGCAAGGAGCCTAGGCACACGACGCAAACAAAACTCTCAAGCAGCTTTGCAACAAAAATTCAGGGACAGTTCCAGAGCAGTACCAAAACGAACGCGTCCCACGGCACTCTCGTTGAACTGGATCCTTAGGCCGCAAAGTATTCCGGGAGACTTCAACCTGTGCAAGGCAATAATACAGTAGGCAGCTTCTGGGGAAATGAAAACTAGGTGTGTGCATAGGGAGTCCTGCCGTGTAAAACTTGTCACCTGCGTAATCGGGAAAAGCAGCTTCTTCCTGTCAGACCTGCTTATCCAAATAGAGTAACCCTCCTGCTCGTCCAAGCCTCGCTCTTAACTAGTTAGCTCAAACCTCCGTGGGAAGTGTATCCACTGTCACCTCCCATCCCTGCCCCGTAAAGGCAGTGTAAATGGATCCCTACGTTCTCCAACAAAGCGGATCTAAACCCCTGCTTCACAGCTGCTCCGGTGGGATAAAAACAGGAACGCGCACCCCGAGATCTTGCAAGGCAAATACGGACTTTTTCTCCCCTCCCCAGGTCCTTTTCGGGTCTACCGTGCTGTGCAGTCTCCGGGCGGTCTCCTCTCCCGGCAGTGTCAGCCTTCGCGGAGGCCCCGTACCCGTTTGGACTCCGGCCGCGGCTGGCTCACTCGCTGCTGTTTGACAGCGAGGAAGCAAGAGCCGGGGAGGGGTGCGGCCTCCGCGCGCGGGCATTGCCGGCCCCGCCTTCGGGATTCCCGGGTCCGAACTTCGCGCCGAGCGAGCCCGCCCCCCGTGCCGTTCCTGATTGGCCAATCCCTTTGTCTTCCTCCATTGCATTGGGCGGCGCTATGGGAGGATCCCTGATCTCCCGCCTCCCGCTTTTCCTGATTAGTTCACAAATTTTCCCGGGTTCCAGAAGTTGGGAGGAGCCGCCAGGGCGCGGAGATGCCCCGAACGTCTTAATTGGGCCCGGCTTCAGACACGACTGCGCCTCCGTACACCCCTTCCCGTCATCCTTCCGGGGTGAAACAGCTTTATTGTCCCGTCGGGCTGCCCGCTTTGCGCAGGCGCGGTTGGGGGCGGAGGCCGCGCCCCGTAGCTAGGTGAGGGGGTGTGGCCACAGGACAGAGGGAGGGACTTCTCGTGCTGGGTAAGGGGCGTATGGAGGAGTCAGTTGGGGATGGGAAGGGGCTGAGAGGAGAGTTCCGGGGTGGGCTCGGAGGTTCCTAGAGGGAGAGGGGTGCAGAGGCCGGGTAAAGACACAGATGAAGTGGTCAGAACAACCTTAGAGTTCAGGGTCCAGCGGGGTGAATTCTCAGGCGTATCTTGGGTTGGCGGGTGGGGGGCAGACTGAGCGCCAGCTAGAGTGCAAGGAGGCGAGAGCAGGCTATTGGGTTGAGAGATGAGGATGAGAGTGAGAACCAGAATAATTCCTTCAGGAAAAAAGATTGGGATGTAGCGAGGGGGATAGGAAACCCAAATTGGGGGGGAAATAGATGAATTCAGATGGGAGGGTGGGGAGATCCTGAAGAGCACTCTCTATGCTCTAGGACTCTTGGACAGTGGAGGGTTGGGGGACAGGGATGGGAGCTGAGGGCATAGTAGAGAGACACTTAGAGAAAAGTTACCAGAAGGGTTTGGATGAAATGTCAGGAAGCTAGCTTTTCTGCCGAGGGGTCTAGGCTGCTTGGATTCCCAGGGGTCCTGGGGGGATACCTCCTGGCCTACATGTGGCCACATTCATCTGGGGCTAGGTCTTGGGCTAGTGCTTTATTAGGGAAGGACTCAGGAGTCATGGCTTGGTGGTGTGTGGATGGGCTTCCCGTAGGCCTTGCTGAGCAGTAGAGAGAACTCTGGAGATTGGGCTCACAGCCCTTGCACTGCATACCTCCTTTCTCACCTCCAACCAGGAACAGCAGAGACCGTAGAAACTTGAGGAGGGTAAAGGCATTGCCCAGCATCCTAAAACTATGAGTAAAGCCTGCAAGCTCCCTCTCAGCCTGTCTTAGTACACTCCCTCCATTTCATGGTTAACCAGTGCCATCGTTCTATCAGAATCCAGGTTGGGTCAGGCAAGTGATCTTTAGGTGTTTCCTACTTCTTTTGGGAAGTAGGAAAAGAGGAACTAAAAGTCAGATGCACCTGGCTGCTTTTTTAAGGATTATGACTTTGTTATTGTAGGAATTTTCTTTTTGGAAGGTGGCCTGAGAATTGAATTGGAGTGACCTTGTTTCTCCTGTTTTCCAGGGGAACATAGAAGGCTGGACACAGAATCTAGAAACTTCAAATAATGTGGAGATGTTTCGACCTTCAGGTTAGTGAGGCTGGGCAATGGGATTAGTGATTGTCTCCCTAGGAAACTGACCATTTTTGTCCTGTGATTCCTCAGGTTCCACTGGGCTGATTCCCCCATCCCACTTCCAAGCTCATCCCCTTCCAACTCTGCCAAGAATGGCTCCCTCCTGGGTCTCAGACATTCCCCCGGTCCAACCTTCAGTCCATCAAGATGGCTCAGAGAGGTGGGCAGACAACTGGAGACCTCAGGCGATCAAGTGGGAACAGGATGTTTCTGGTGATGAGAAGGGGCCAGGGCGAAGAGGCAGGTAGGGATCCATGGTTGTGTTTTCTCAGGCTTGCTTTCCAGTGACCCTTCATCACTGAAATAGATTCCTTATTCTTAGTGCCATAATTTGTTCATTTTTGCATAATCATTGATGGTTGCCTTCAATGCACACAAAAAAAGGCAAGTTTGCTAGGTGCTACGGATGGGGATAAATATGAATGAGCAATCCTGATACCCAGGAATTTAAAATCCCAAGGGAAAAGACAGATTGATCAACAGCCAATTGTAAATAAGCATAGCCTAAGGCAAGATGAAGAGATGTGAACTAGGAGTATAGACTGTACTGTGGATTCGTTCTGATGGAACCCACACCATTTGAGCTGGCCATTTATTTGTGGGTGTTTTGTCTGTAAAAATGCCTATTCTTAATCTTGACGTTTCATGTGTGTCTTTTCCCAAATATACTGGAATATTGTTCTGCCATTTTGCTCTGGAGTGGGATTGCAGATGGGTCCACCTTGGGCCCCATCCAGGAGGAAGGAGCATGATGACCAAAAGAGAGCAGTGGGTGTTAGGAGATGGAGACTCTGTTCCTAATTTAGTTAACAGCTAGGGGTCCTTTGGCTAGTCACTGAATTTCTCGAGGTTACAGATCCCTGCTGCTTATGAAAAAAGTCCGGTGGTTCTGGGCCTTAGTGAGGCAGCTGTGATGAGAGCCATGTTCTAAGCTGGTTTAAATTTAATGACACCAGTAAATTGTGTTCTCCAAAGGTTGGGATTATGTAGTTTTTTGTCCTCTCGGACTCCTTCCTTATACAGTATATCTGACATTCAACATATGCTTTTAGCTAGCACCTGGTCTCACCCTGTTGCTACTGGAAGCCATGGCATCCCATTCTACACACCTCCCTCAAACTCTTGCTTGCTGTTGTCAGAATTCAGAAGTCTCTGTTTGTCTTCCACTCTCTCCAGTTTAGAATTTGTGGCCTAATAATGTGCACATTTGATGTTTAACATATCTTCCTGTATATAGCTGTCCTGAAATCATGTTCCATGATCTTAGCTAGCCTTTAGGTTCTGTGAGCCCAGACAGTAGACCTAATATGCTTAGTAGGGCCATGATAAATGATCGTGGTGATGGAAATGCAGAGGTCTGTCTGCATGGCCCAGCTTCATCTCCCCATCTCTCCACACAGGAGCAGAGGGATCCTCTTCTCCTGTCTCCATCTATGCCCTTGACCACCCTCCCAACACCAGAGACAGGTCTCATCTGTGCTATGTCTTTGAAGGTCCATGGAGCTGCATGGGTCACAGGCCCTGAGCCAACAGGCTGAGCTGATCTCTCGACAGCTCCAAGAGCTGCGGCGATTCGAGGATGAGGTCCGGGTCCTGCGGGAGACCTCACTACAGCAGAAGATGAGGCTGGAGGCCCAGGCCATGGAGCTGGAGGCTCTGGCACGGGCAGAGAAGGCTGGCCGAGCTGAGGCCGAGGGCCTGCGTGCTGCCTTGGCTGGGGCTGAGCTTGTCCGAAAGAACCTGGAAGAGGGGAACCAGCGGGAACTGGAGGAGGTTCAGAGGTTGCACCAAGAACAGGTGAATGTGGGAGAGGGAATGGTTCTGCTTCACAATGGTGAGCTGAGCAGTAGCTTCCCAGCAAGTATCAGGTATTGCAGAAAAGGTCTCCACTAGCAGTGGAGTGATAAGATGGTGGTGAAGATGAAAAAATAGGTGACCTGGAAAGAGAGAGAACTAGGGTCTTTTGGTCTTATTCAGATTGTACGTTCCCCAGGAGGTCAGGTGACATCCCTCCTCTTGAAGCCCTCCTCTCCCTTACAGCCATTCCCCTCCTTCACTGGCCTCCCAACTCCTTCAGTGTCCCCCATACCCTTACCATGAGGTGAGAAATGGACAAGATTCCTACCTTCCTAGAGCTTCCTTTTGAATGGGGTGTGGCAGTTAGGTAGCTCTTGCTGAAGTAAGATCATTTCTGGTGGTGAGTGCTAGGGCATGAACAGGTGACAGGACAGAGCAGGTGGTAGGGAGGGGTTGTGGGGCCAGTGAGATATTCCCGAGGAGGCGACTTCACCTGAGAGCCTAGGAGTTCAGAGAATCCTAGCATTCTGGTAGACTGAGGTGGGAAAGAGCTGGCTTGTTGTGGTGAAGAAGTGGGTGCTGTGGCTGGAGTGGAGGGAGAGCTGTAAGAGCTTAGCTCAGAGAAGCAGGTAGAGGCCAAGGCACAGTGACTGCAGGAGAGGGAAGAAGCTGGATTTGTTCTGAATGCCATAGTGAGCCTCTGGAGGTGTTCAAAGACCGTCAGGAGTTTGTTGGTCATTGTCCAGGCCAGAGATTTGCGTGGCTTACCTCAGGTTGGGTGCAGTGGAGATAAAGTTGAAGATATGTTTTGTGGGAAGACTTGATGGTAGCTGCTGCTGGATCAGAGGGTGATGAGTGGGTGAGTGAGGAGCCCTGTGCAGCTGGGTGATTTATTGAATTGCCCTATAAAGCCACAGGAAGTGGAGTGAAGGGTAGGGCCAAAGCAGGGGTGGATTTGGAAAGCCCAGATGTAGGAGTGAGCTTACCCCTGCTGAGCTCTCTCTTTCTCTGCAGCTCTCCTCCCTGACAAAGACTCACCAGGAGGCTCTTTACAGTTTGACCAACAAAGCTGAGGGCTTGGAGAGGTCTCTGAATAGTCTGGAAACCAGGAGGGCAGGGGAAGCCAAGGAGCTGGCCATGGCCCAGAAGGAGGCTGAGCTGCTGCGGAAGGAGCTGAGGTCAGTGGCAGGGTGGCTGGAGGACTGCCTGGAGGTTGGTGAGTGAGGGTGCCCCCTGATGGCTACCCTGTTCCCACCCCAATCCCAGCAAGACTCAAGAGGACTTGAAGGCGCAGGTGACCTTGGTTGAGAACCTAAGGAGATATGTGGGGGAGCAAGTCCCTCCTGAAATCCACAGCCAGACATGGGAATCAGAGCGACAGGAGCTTCTAGAAAATGTGCAAGTGAGAGAGTGCAGCGTGTATCTGTGCAGGGCCAAGGGTGGGACGGGAGGGCTTATGCTCAGGGCCTGGGAGAGGGGTGGGCCCTGGAGAGGAGCTCTGTTCTCAAAAGAGAAGGCAGTGGGGTCAAGGGCTGCACTGTCTTGGAGGCCCTGCAGCGGTGGTGGCTATGCTCCCTGCCTTTGCCACTGCAGCACTTGCAGGAGGCCCGGGACGGCCTGCATACCACGGTGGAGCTGCTGCAGGTGCGAGTGCAGAGCCTCCTGCACATCCTCACCATGCAAGAGGAGGAGCTAGCCAGGAAGGTAGGCCCCCACTCTGGGCCCCTCACCCCCAGGTGCTTCCCTGTGGGCAGGAGGGGTTGGTGTGCAGCCAGAACCTGCCAGCATCTTCCTCTCCGAGGATACCTCTTCTGGCTGTGGCTCCTGTTGCTTGGGCAGGACAGAAAAAAAACCCCACCTCTTTCTTCTGCTCCTCCAGGAGCCCACACTACCGCCCCCCTTCTTCCACCTTGCAGGTTCAACCTTCAGATTCCCTGGAGCTGGAATTCACCAGGAAGTGCCAGGCCCTGCTGAAACAATGGCGGGAGAAGGTGTTTGCCCTCATGGTGCAGCTAAAGGCCCAGGAGCTGGAGCACAGAGGACATGTGCAGCAGCTGAAGGGACAGGTCACTTGGCTCCTCCCCATATTTGCCTCCTAGCTCCTTGCTTATTATATGAGGAGTGGTATTTATTCAGCAAAGATTTATTAGAGGTTATCATGTGCTTGGAAGACAGCCTTGAACAAAGACAGTCAAGTACCTGTTCTCATGGAGCTTTTATTCTGGAGCAGAGAGACACAATAAGGAAGCAGATGATTGTATCATGTCAAGTAATTTATATGTGCTTTAAAGAATAATGTGAAAGGTAGTGTGACAGTGAGACACCATGGGGTTGGCCAGCTTTAGGTAGGATGGTCAGGAATGGTCTTCCTGAGGAGGTGACAGTGTCCCAGGATGGGTGGCATGGGCAGAGGGTCATGGGTCCTTATGGGTGAGTCCCAGGGTGGGTCAAGGTGTGGGCACATGGAAGGAACATGCTTCTGGAAGAAACCTGAAGTCAGACTCTATTCTCAGGATCCTGAGCTTCTTGTCTGCCTGCATGGTGTTCTTTCAGAGAACTCTGCACCTGCCCCTTCACTTCCAGTGCCCCCACACAGCTTTCGGCTCTAGCCGCACCCTGCCTGGCCTCCTCTCCTCCCACAGTTGACAGAGCTCCAGGAAATAACTGCAGCCCAGAGTCAGGAGCAGGCCATCCTGCAGCGTTCCCTGCAGGACAAAGCCGCAGAGGTGGAGGTGGAGCGGATGGGTGCCAAGGTCAGTGTGTGAGACAGGCAGAGGCTAAGGGAAGGCAGGACATCCCTGGCCTGGGTGTGTGGGCCCGAGCCCTGGGAGGGAACCCTTCACTTCACTGCATCCTTTCCAGGCCTTGCAGATGGAGCTGAGCCGGGCTCAGGAGGCCCGGCAGCGGCAGGAACAGCATAGTGCCATGACTGAGGGGCACCTGAAGCTTGTGGCCGGTGCTGTCAGCAGGTATTGGGTGGAGTGTGGGTGGAGTAGTATTTCTGCTTCCCCAGTTGCCTGGGCGCCTTGGAGTTTAAGAGTCCCCAGCTAGAGGGCCTGGAAAGCTGGCAGCTACAGGTATTTATTCCTGTAGAGTCCCTATGGTTACTTTTCCTGGGACAGCCCCCTGCACATTTACACCAGGGTCACTTGTTAGGACTCCTGCTGTGAATTTGGCTGGAGGTGAGATGTGCTTCCTACTGTAGTGCTGTCTACCTGGGAGGCGTTCCACCCTCAGTGTTCAAGGATGAGGCATGTGGAGACTTGATCTTTTTGTCTGTAATATTCTATGCATGCTCTATCTAGTTGGAAATGAATGTAATCTATTTATTTTACAGCTGTACCCCTACTGGTTTACTAGATATTCCATCTAAAAATGTATGCCAATTTCCTTCTCAATCAATTGCCAGCTGTGTCTCTCCTACCAACCTCCTAGGTGTTTCCTTCCTAACTCTTGGGAAGACTTATAGGAAGACCTGTAAGGAGAATGTGAGCTTCCTCACATTGGTAACAAGCCCTTCTCAGCTTCAGGTGCTGGAGTCCTGAGGTGGTCCTTGCAGAACCCCTAGCACAGTGCCTGCGTTGTCTTCTGAGCCTGTAAATGTTTCCTGTTACCATGACGCTATTCTTGATGGATGACAAGAATTTTAGATTTAGTAAACTTGTGGTACAGGTTGGGTCCTTGCCCACTATCCCCTTCCGTTGGATTTGTACCTTGAGGACTAATTTAACTTAAAAAGTTATGAAAAGTTTCAAACATGCATGGGATTAGAGGGACTAGTTAGGATGAACCACCTCCCAGATTGAACCCATTGCATGTGTCTTTTACCTTCAGGAGAACAGAAAGATATCCTGCGGGTAGGGTTTTACTTTGGCTCCAGGACATCACTGAAATGGTTCTTGCTAATGATTTATTGCCAAAGAAGCCCACAAGGTTCAAAATTCAAAACAAGCCAACTAAGATTTTTGCCAAGTTTGTTAGGTAATCTCTATGGCTTGGGGACCTTATCAGAAAATGGCTTTAATAAGAGCCATGGTGGGTGTTGGAAGCACCTGCTCAAGTCATTTTCAGATAAAAATGATCTCTGCTGTGCTGCTAGGGATACACCTTTCAGCCTTTGTCCACTTGTTTTCCATTGGCACAGACAGGGACTCTCCCAGGGAGCTGCAGCCCTGCCCCTGGATGCTGCCTTAGCCTTTCTCCCAGGGGCCTGTTTAGGCCTCTCAGCTTTCATGAGCCATACCGGTTGTACTTCGAGCACAGCCAGCTGGTGAAGGACACGGACCTGGCCTTCAGTGGTATCGGAAGTTGGAGAGGATAGCTGATCTCTGATGCATACATAATAGGGATCAAAAAACAGGTTGTGAGAAATAAGCTTTGTAGGTTGCTTGAAAACATACAAAGTCATTAATGCCTTGTTGGTGTGATGGCCCCTTAGAACAGTTATGGAAACAGCAGGCTTTGTTCCTTAGGAAAGCATACATAAGTTCATACTCCCCACACATGGTGTACAATACCAGTAGGGTCCTAAAGCCTAGAGATGCATCCATGGGCCTGCAGGTGAAAAAGTCTAAGTCAGCTAGAGATTAGCCAGCCTTATGGCACTCAATTTAAGCCCCTGCAGAGTTTTTTTTATTGAACCCTTTACTCTAATGGCATTTGGGCCCAGATAAGGTATAACCCCATGAACCTCAGTGTTTCTACTGCAGGGCTGTAATTAAAGACGCTGACTGCTAGGGCCCAGATGAGAGGCTTACTGTAGGTTCACTGAATAGCTGTATTTTCTTATGAGCAATTGGATTATGTTTATCTGACAATCACTAAATGGCTTACGCTCTCAGGTTTTCTTCTTGTATCAACAGAGAAGCTCAGACACGACTGATAGCGCAAAAAGTTGGGCCTCCTACCCTTGGCTTCAGCATTTTTTTCCTGCTCCGATTTTCCCTCCCCTGCTTTCCCCAGTACAAGATAGCGTGAGTTGTCCCTGCTAGGCAGGTCAAGTCCTGTTGGGAATGAGGTGAGGTTGAAGCATCAGTGACCTTCTCCAGCTTTCAGACCTGGCTCCAGGACACCGCGGCTGAGGTGGAACAGGCTGCAGCCCGGCTGCCCAGCCTCAGCAGCCGAGTCAGCTATGCTGTCCGCAAGGTCTACACCATTCGGGGTGGGTAGGACTAGTGCCAGATGTACTCCATTGCTGTCCCCCAGCCCACACCCACCCTCCTGCCCCCTCACCAGCCTGTGCATCTCTTTCCTTTATCCCCACCCGAGGTTTCCCCTTTTCTTCCCCACTAACTTGTCTCTCTTGCTCTCTGCCTTTTCTCCCCTAGGTCTAATGGCTCGAAAACTGGCCCTTGCTCAGCTGCGCCAGGAGAGGTGAAGGTTGGGGCACTTGGAGGTGGATCTGGGGAGAAAGGGGGCTTTCAGGTGTTGGTTGCTGGGACCCAAAATAGGACTGAGGAGGGGTGAGGGCTTTGGGCTCAGGCAGCTGGTGATTTCCCCTGACTTTGTTACTCTTCCTTGTCCCAGCTGCCCTCTACCCCCACCAGCCATGGATGTGAACCTTGAGTTGGAGCAGCTGCGGGAAGAACGGAACCGTCTGGATGCAGAACTGCAGCTGAGTGCCCACCTCATCCAGCAGGAGGTGGGCCTGGCCCAGCAGCAAGGTATGCTTGGTCCTGGAGTCACCCGGAGTCACTGAGCTTGAGCAGAGCCAGAGGATGGAAAGGAAGAGGTAAGAGCTGGAGCCTCGGGTGTGGATAGGCCTGAGTGTGAGCCACCTCTTCTCAGGGGAGGCGGAGCGGCAGCGGCTAAGTGAGGTTGCCCAGCAGCTGGAGCAGGAGCTGCAGCGGACGCAGGAGTCCCTGGCCAGTGTGGGGTTGCAGCTGGAAGCGGCCCGCCAGGGCCAGCAGGAGAGCACAGAGGAGGCTGCCGGTCTCCGGCAGGAGCTGACCCAGCAGCAGGAGCTTTGTGGGCAAGGTGTGCAGGGTGGACAGGCATACACTGGAAGGTTGACGGGCCTCTAGCCAAGGCCCCCCGACACACTCCATCTTCATCTTCACCCCAGCTCTGCAAGAGAAGGTGGCCGAAGTGGAAACGCGGCTACGGGAACAGCTCTCAGAAACAGAAAGGAGGCTGAGTGAGGCTCGGAGGGAACAGGCCAAGGCTGGTAAGGTCTGGCAGGGTGGACTGTGGGCTTCTAGCAGGAAGGTCATGGTGTTGACACATAGACTATTCTTAAAACTTTTTTTAAAGCCTTTTTTGAAGTACGAAACTAATGAAGTTGTCAAGGAGTGGTGTAGATGAATCCTCACGTGGTGTACACACCTGCATAGCCAGCGCCCAGATCTTATACCAGCCCCTGACCAGCCTGGAGCCCCTGAGCTGCTCCCAGTGACTCCCCTTCACAAAGGCAGCTGCCATCCCCATACCTCACACCAACTATCTCGTCCAACTTTTTATTAGGAAAAATGTCAAACACCTAGACAATTAATAGAAGTGTGTAATGAATACTCACATACCTTCTCCAGCCCAATGCAGCAGCTATTAACCATTTGCTCCATTTCCTCTCTAACTGTATATACATACACATTGATATATACATTGTTTTGGAATCATTTAAAGTAAATTGCAAATATTGTGAGTGTTCAGCTGTCTCTCCTATGAAGAGGAAATTTTCCTACTACCTCAATACCATTGTCACACTTTAGGAAAGTGAACATTAATTGCATACAATCTAATATCCAGTCTATATTCAGGTTTTCCCTGAGGGATGCCACAAGGTTCGGGGATGGGGAAGATACTTTGGGTTCACAGATTCTTTGGATCCTAGAGCATCAGCCATCCCTCCCACCATACAGAAGAGACTGAGAGCCACAGAGTGGAAGTGGCTTCCCTGAGTCATAGAGCTGGGGACCCAGTATTAGCCTGTCATCCCAGTCTTGTTTTCAATGTGTCTGGCTGCCTCTATGCTGCTCCACACCTGTGCCCTCTGTGTCTTGGCTTCCCCACAGTAGTCTCCCTGTGCCAGATACAGCACAAAGCCACCTGGGAAAAGGAGCGGAGTCAAGAGCTCAGACGTCTGCAGGAGGAGGCCTGGAAGGAGGAGGGACTGCGGCTGACCCAGCGCTTGCAGCATCTGGAGAGGGATAAGGACCTCATGCTGGTAGGGAAAGGCGGAGGCCACGGCCTGCCTGGGGAGAAGTATAGGAAGAGGAAGGGGTGGCTCTGCCTGGGCTAGGTGGCGTGTAACACTCTCCTTCCCAGGCCACCTTGCAGCAGGAAGGTCTCCTCTCCCATTACAAGCAGCAGCGACTCTTGGCAGTTTTGCCTTCCCTACTGGATAAGGGGAAATCTGTGGAGCCCAGCCTCAGGCCCTCAGGGTCTCCAGCTTCTCTACTTCCAGCAATGGCACCCTCTTCCAGGGAGTCCATAAAAGGTAATGGTCTCCATAGGAAGGGACAGATGGGGACACTTCAGGAATCTGCTCTGGACACTCTTGAACACATGACTATTGTTCTCTGCTACCCTTGGAGGCCAGCAGCCTCTCTTATCCATGACCATCTTGGACCAGAGAACCTTTCCCCTCACAACCCTTACATCCTTTGGCAGGCCTGCTCGCTGCATGGCCACCACCACAACCTTCTCTTGTCTGACTCCCATCCTTTGGGGTCTTCTTTCCCAGGATCCCTCTCTGTCCTGCTTGATGACCTGCAGGGCTTGAGCGAGGCCATTTCCAAAGAGGAAGCTATTTCTCAAGGAGACAACCAGAACTCTCCTGCAACAGTCTGCCAGTGAGGAGCAGAGTATGCTGGGCATCTAGGAGCTCCAGGGGGTCAGAAGGATCTTGGAGAAGTGGTAGGGGTTGGGGGGTGGGGATCCAGCCCTGTCTTCTTTCCTATCCAGCTGCCCTTGGGGACAACTGGCCACCAACATGTCTGAATTCTCTTGTGGCTCAATAAAGATGATGACAGTGGGAGCCATTGTTTGAACATGTTGTCTTGGGAATCTAAAGGAATTCTCCCTGCAGCCATCTCTTCCCAGGGAATGTGAGGGGGGTGCCACCCAGATCTAATGGTACCTTTTTCAAAATTCCTTTCCTGGCTGCTTGGGAAGTGTTTTTTTGAGAAGCTGCAGGTTTTCTTTATTCTCAATTTCTTTTTTAAAACTCTTTACTTCTGGAAGATGATCAGTGCCAGGAGTGAAGAGTATAAAACATTTACTTAGCAGGACTCTTAGAGCCAGGCAGCATCCTAGCCCAGGGGCCACAGTGGTGGGCTTGACGGGCAGGTTTCTGTCCCTATGGTACTTACTAGTATGACAGATAGACATGGACAAACGCGAATGGACAAACGGGTGTTGCAAATGATAACAAGTGCTATGAAAGGCAAATAAATCATAGTGATGTGGTAGAACCTGGCTTTGGGGGCAGGTGTTTGAAGAGGTAACAGGAAAGGGGACAGTGTCTCTCTGAGGAGATCGGAAGGAGGTGAGCAAGCAGTGCAGCCATCTGGAGAGGAGCTCCTGGGTAGGATTCTGCAGTGAGACCACGAATTAGGGATGCAGCCACAAAATTCAATTGGTGTGTTTAAGAGAGATGGAGTTATAGATGTTGGGGGGATGAGGAGTGGGAGCAGGGAGGCCAATGAGGAGGGTGCTGGGAGGTGGGGGAGGGGGCGATCCAGGATGGGGCGGCGGTCTGCATTTGGCTTGCAGGGCTGGGGGGAGAGGAACAAAGGCTTCCAAGTGAGCCACAGAGGGACAATGATGTCCCTTACTGTCAAGGAACAGACCAGTTGCGGAACATCCTGCGGGGGAAGAGAGTTCTGTTTTTGAGCCATTGCTTCTGAGAGGCTCGTTTAGGCCTCCAGGCAGAGGAGGCATTCTTGAGGAAGAAGTCTCTCTGAGAGACTTAGACAAGACTTGGACTGAGATCTAAAGGACCAGGGGATGCGCAGTGGGCAAAGAGAGGTGTTGCCCAGGACCAGAGGGGCTGTAGGGGCAGTGAGGGGGAGTCCAGAGGGTGCAGGGAAGGGCTGCAAAGACAGAGTTGAGGCAGCTTCTTCCTGAGCCTCTGTGGCCCTGACTGATGGAACCAGTTTGGGGTGGGAAGGAATCAGGATGTCCTCACATTTCCTTCTTCGCCTGAAGTTATCCCAGATGGCTCCTGGATGAAATTCCAAGGATGTCACTGCTGGGGAGGGTCCCTGTGTGCCTGAAGAAGGTACATGCTGGATGGAGCACAGCATGCCTGGGTCCTGAGGGGGCCCAAACTCCAAAGAAAGAATTGAGTCCCAAGGCCAAGTCTTCAAAGGGGTAGGGGGAGGCTCCAGCAACTAGCTAAGACCAAATTAGCTGCCTCCCAGTTGTTCAAAGGGAGCCGCTCTGTCCCTCCCTGCTAGGCGTCCTGCTTTCTGGCCCTGTAATTACACTGCTTCCCCACGCGTGGTTTGGTCCCATTCCTTGGCTTCCAAAGGCTTCGAGGGATGGAAGGTGGAAGTCCCTGTGGTTATAGAGATGACAGGTGGGTACTGATTGCTGCAGAGTGTGTGTGGAGGAGGATGTGAAAACAAGGGACGGGTAACCAAGGTCTAGGTCATCGATAGAGCCAAGGTGGCCGGTCCTGAGCTGAGGGGCTAAAATGAGGGACGCTGCTGTCAGAGGTTACACATCAGCCATTGCCTTCCAAACTGGTTTGACCAGTTAGGTTCTGATGGGGTTCCTGGTGTCACTGGGCTGGCCTCTCCCCAGAGATTGGCTTCCTCCTTTCCCTCCTCCCCTATAAAGCCTCTTGGGGTTCCTAGGCACCCAGAATCAGCCCACCCTTGGGTTTAGAGGCCAAGACAGCCATGATGCTCAACTGGAAGCTGCTGGGGATCCTGGTCCTTTGCCTGTATGCGGAAGGTATGCTGGGACTAGAGGCCTAGGAGACCAATTTGGGGTGATGGATTGGTCAAATGAGGAAAAGGGGAAGTGAATTGGGGGCATAGGGATGGGAGGAGCTTCTGGAAATCCACAGATTTGGGGTGATCAGAAGTGAAGGGGTTGCAGGTGATGGAGGAAGGTACATTTTAGCTCAGAATAAATGTTTAGCTCAGGGTATATACCGCTTTGGGGTTGTAGGCCATCAAGGGGGCCATGCCAGTGGGATATCCCAACCAGGGCTGGATGGAGCTTATATGGGGGGGTCCTGTCAGTTAAGTTAATGGTTAAGGATAGCATTTTCATGTCGTTTTAAGATCACTTGCTATTTTGTAAATGTGTGGAGAGCTCTGAGAATTACTTCTGAGGTTTGTGGGATCAGCTGTGGTCCATCCCAGAGAGGCTGTACCCCCTGGGTTTGCAGCTGTGGGGGTGTGGATATCTGGCCGTCACCACCTTTTACTTTTGTCTTTCCTCCCCTACAGGCATCTCAGGCAGCGGAGACCACCCGTCTCTCCCACCCATGGAAGCTGGAGAGGAGGAGGGCTCCTCAGCATTGCCTCAGGGCCCCCCAATCCCTGGTAACCCCTGGCCAGGGGTACCCTCTCTCTTTGAGGACCCTCCACTTTCAGGCCTCAATCGTCCCTGGAGAGACCTGCCTGAATCTGGAGTCTGGCCTCCTGAGCCCCCCAGAACTGATCTCCCTCAACCTCCCCAGCCTGATGACCCCTGGCTAGCAGGACCCCAACCTCCAGAAAATCCCTGGCCACCTGCCCCTGAGGTGGACCACAGATCTCAGGAGGAGCCAGACCTTGACCCACTCCGGGAAGAGTATAGATAACAGGATTCTGGCTTTCTGGGCCTCCTGGCAGGGTGCACTCAAGCCTGTCTACCCTTCCAATTCCCCTTAAGTTCTCCCCAATTGAGCCTAGCTCCTTACATCCCTTCCTCATTCCTTCAATTTTATTGTGGAATCCTGAAGGTGTCATTCTCACTGTTTTCTGTCCCTCCTGAGATCTGTATTTAGCCCCCGCATTGCCCCTCCTTTTTTCTCCGACAGCTCAAGTGTACACCTCTACCACAAGCCCAGTATCTGCCTCCCACCTCCTCTTCCTCACCCCTGGGGCTCCTGGGGCAGGGCTGGTAGCACTGTGCTGTCTGCTGCCACCTGGTGGCCAACAGGGGACAATGATGGTGCTTTCATGAAATTGATAAGTAAAAACCGTGTTTTCTTAATTTTGAATCTAGGCAGCTTCTTTGCCAGTGTAGGATTTGAATATTCAGATGTCCTCTTCAGAGCTACTAACCTACAAAGATCTGGAAGTATTTGAGTTTCTTTTGTGCCCATATCCAATAAGGTTGTGGAGCTCAGCAGGAAGGGTGTTGGAAAAGTAACTATCAGAGCTACAAAGAAATTCAGACCCACATTTCTCCCGTTCTGGGACTCCTGTTTTGGAGAATGAGAAACCAAGTTACGTCTCTCTTTAATAGCTTATGGTTTGAATACTGCTGGGGCATGAAAACTTTCCTAGGGGCATGTGGGCAGGACCAAGTTTTAAGGGGATCAATTTCCAGAAGTATATGTGTCCCTTCCTAAAACGAATGTGCCTGAGGATTGTGTTCTCTTTTTCCACCTGCCTCCATCAACAAGCCACTCTTCTCCCACTGGACAAAGGCCCAGCTTTCTCACACACCCAGAGTGCTCTTCCTGGAGCTGCCAAACAAAAGTCAATGGGAAAAAAAACAAGCCCTTTCCAGCTCATTAAGATATACATGTTCAAAATCAAAGTACTTTTCTGTTTAATCATTGTCAATATTTGAAGTTTAGATAACTGTGTCTTGTAATAATTGTAATTATAAATTCATTGCAGAATAACTGTTTTCAACACTTGGAGCTTTATGGCCACAGGAAATAAATTTCAACTTACATATCTTTGTTACAAAGATATATCATTTATTAAAAGGGTGTTAATGTATATGAAAATGTTATGGTATTATATTCCATCTATACATTTAAAAGAGTGATGTGACTTTTAATATTGTAAGTATTAACAATTCCCTGGAAAGCATACCCTTTGTAGTATTGAAACATGATTAAAAATGTTAACTGTTAAAAAAAGATGTTAACTGTTGACTTAAAAATGTGTAAGGGGTACACAGTTTTTCAAAATTCTTTAAGGCAATATTTTAAGCAGGGAAGTTTGAAGGGCAGGAGCCGAGAGCCCAATGGCCTAAGTCAATCAAGTGGCTGACCAAGGTGTGGTTGAAGAGGGGCTAAAAAATTGAGGGTGTGTTACCTTAACATTCACCCCTTAGGAGGCAAATGTGTTTATGTGGTAACTCCCGTCAAAACCTGTATGTGACTGGTTTGAAAAATTAAAAAAAACCCTCCTAAGTGTAGAGTTTAGAAATCAGCTAGACAGACTACGTAAGAGTCATAAGGGTGAGTCTAGTGATTTGGGCCTCAAAGTGGGCTATGTTCACGACTCAGTCACTTTCTTATACCCTTAATACGTCCCCAGTGCCGGGTGCTATAGGAGAATATAAAGAATAAAAATATACAATTCCCACTCTCAGGAAGTTTAAAATTAGGCCCGGGAAGACAGGATTTACATGCAAAGTTAAGCAGCGTCACAAGGATGCATGTAACTAAATAACTATATGTGTAAGCAGCAGGGTACTAATAGCCTTGGCCGTAATCGCTGTGACCTCAGAAGAGAGTCACGAGGAGCTAGACTGGCCAGCGGAGGCCCTCGGGAGGCGGCCGGAAGCTCGCAAGAAGGCCGCAGGCTGCGCGGCGCGGGGACGCTCAGGGAGTGCGTAGGGGACCGGGCGGGGCTCCCGCGACGGCGCAGGCGCGGAAGCTGCTCGAGGCCCGCTTCCTCCCGGATCCGCCTTTCGCCCGTGCACTCGGCAGGCGTTGGCATTTACCTCTGAGTGCGCCGTGCCCGCAGCCTGAGTCGGCCTTATCTTCCCACCAGAGCTTTGTGCCTTCAGCGACGCCTCTCCCCACTCTCACCCACACCAATGCTGCGCGCCTCCCCAACTAGGCCCGAAGCTCTAGGGGGCGGAGGCGGTTCTGCACGAGTCGTCTCGGATCCCTTCCCCATTTTGATGCCCTCTGCCGCCGAGTGTGCGCTCATTCCCAGCAGCCCCACTTGTACTTGGACTGCTGAGGCATAGGAGCGCTGGAAGCACGTGGAAATGTTTCTTCCCTACAACCTCACTCCCCAGCTCGCCCACTTTTTGGATGACTGACAAATATGCGGGTATTAACCCTCCAGGCCGCGGAGCCCAAGATGACCTATAGGAGACTGCCTGGATTCCTCCCAGGTCCCGCTTCTCACTGTCGCTTCCCACTTCTCCCTCCCGACCCTCGCAGGTATTTCTACTGCGCATGTGCTGTGTGGGCACGCTTGCCAAATGCCCTACAGATTAAGATCCCACTTAATTTGCATAATAACCCTATCATCTCCATTTAAGAGAAAGGAAAAACTGGCCTGGAGAGGTACAGTGACAGGCTAGGCCATATGTAGTGGGCAAAGGGTAGACCTGGATTTAAATTCATGTCTGTCCTTTGACAATCACTTCAAACTACATTTCCCATCTCTTTATTCATCTGTATAACCTAGACTCGGAATACAGTGCCTGGGCCTTCATAGACACTTAACAACTTGTATTAGAGATTTCCAGAGAAACAGAACCAATAGAAAATATATGGATTATTATAGGAATTGGCTTTTGAGATTTTGGAGGCTGAGAATACCCACGATTTGCTGTCTGCAAGCTGAACACTCAGGAGTCAGAGCAATAATTCAGTCTGAGTCCAAAGGCCTGAGAACCAGGGGAACTGATGGTGTAAATCCCAATCTGAGTCCTAAAGCCCAAGAGTCAGGGAGCTGATGAATTAAGTCCTGGTTTGAATCCAAATGACTAGGAACTAGTAGCGCCGATGCCCAGGAGTAGGAGATGGATATCCCAGCTCAGAGAGCAAATTACCCTTTCTCCACCTTTTGTTCTAATCAGCCCTCTCAGATTGGATGGTGCCCACTTGCACTGGTGAGGGTGATCATCTTTACACAGTTCACCCCTTCAAAGGCTAATCTCTTCCAGAAACATCCTCACAGACACACCCAGAAATAATGTTTCACCAGCTCTCTGGGCATCCCTTAGCCCAGTCAAGTTAACCATTACATATGTATTTTATGAGTGGTTGTATTCATTAATGAATGTTTGGGCAACAGGAAGTAGTCTGAGATGGTTAGAGTGAAGAGTTTATAACCTGGAGAAGAGGGTGATACTGTTGAACAGGTAGATTCGGGGAAATCAGGGAAGGTGTAGATGCCAGGCTCAGGAGCTCATATCTGAAAGTCTCCTCTGACAGAACTGTGCCAGGCAGCACACACACATGTCTGGTTGTACCTGTGGCAGGCAGGTATGGGGTAGAAGGGAAGAAGGAAGTCTGGACCCCTTAAGGGGACCTGCAGCAACCATCCAATCAGTGGAATGGAGTTCCTTGGGAATGAAAAGAGAAAATTCTGAAAGGAGAGAGAAAATGAGGGAAAAGAACCGAGTCGCTGATGTGGGTCAAGCAAGGTCTAGGGTTCTCTATATTGTATTATCTTATTTAATTTCCACAACATATGCTGCTTTCCACGTATTCCTCCCCTTCCTTGTAAAGTATGAGAGTATGCCTTACTTCTCTCCCAGGAAGTGTTCAACAGAGAAAATTATTAGCCCCATTTCACAGATGAGGAAACTTCTGCTGAAGAGGTAACTCACCGGTGCAGACATAACACAAGTGCCAAAGTCAAGATGATGCAGAACTGCTGGGCTCCAACCAGTTCTTCCCAGTTTGACATAACAGGCGGGTGAGTGGGAGAGAGAAGGGGGAGTCATGAGGTTATTGGAGATTTTAATACCTATTAATATACAGCAGGTGTTGGCGCTCAAACATGAGTGAGTTTATGAGCTGGGGAAGAGATTGAGTGGGACTGGATGGTATGGAGGATCAATGCAGGGCAACCCATTGTGCCAGCTGCTCTGTTCAGATTAGACAATGCTGATCCTTCCTCATCTGCCTTGGCTGAGCTCACCTAGCAGTGAATGCGGTGGGAACACTGCTGCATCTCCTGTCAACATGGAGTCAGATAATTAAATGATAGAATAGGATCACAGATTTAGAGAACAATAGCTCAGTATCTTGGACATGGCAGGTACTCAGCAAAAGCTTGGTCAATGAAAGAAAAGCACCTAGAACTAGTATTGTGGTACAATCTAATTATGGAAGCTGCGTTACCTTGAGAAAGCATTGGGCACAGCCCTCAGCCTTTGGGCAGGAAAATAATGTGTTTGAACTTAATAGAAGAGATGGTTGTCTACTCTTCTTTGAAGCTCTCTAGGCAGGGAAGCTCCAAACCACTCATTTGTTTCTCCATCTGCCCTTATGACAATCATTTATTGAGCATCTACTGTTCGGGGTGCTAGATGATGGTGACAGTCCCAGGAAGCAGTTTCAGTCCTCCCTTCCCTCAAGGCGCTCTGTGTCTACTGAGGAAACAAACATGTAAATCATGGCGATAAAATGTGATCCAAGTTGAATTAGAGAGGGGCACACCCAGAGGCAGGAGCCGAAGAGGGAAGTCCTAACTTCTCTGCTAATGTCATGTTTCAAACTCATTTGACCGTAGACTTGCTTGGTATAAACTTAAGCTCTCTTACTCTACATTTTCTCCCTCTTATCTTTAATTAGGTGCTCACCAGGTGCTTAGAACTGGCTCAAAAAAACTTGTTGAATTCAGCCAAATCCACCTCCTCGGGTTTTTTCCTCCCAGTGTCTCACACTATGTCACCTTAGGTTGATCTCAGTTTGTCTGAGGGCAGCAGACAGAGCATGGCAATGAGAGTATCAGGCTGTGACCCAAGTCCTCGTCCCCACTCTGCCGTCCATTCTCTGTGTGGCCTTGGGGCGTGACTTTAGGGGGTTTCATTAGTAATATCTAAATTCCCACACAATTGTGAGCCTGTATTTCTTGTGTGTGGTTGATTATTCTGCACTCTGACACCTAGAGGGCAGTCTAGAGACGCCTCTAAGGTGTTTGCCTCCAGAGCCCTTTGTTCTTTTCCTCTAACATCCACGCCCCAGGCCTCCATCAGGCCCCATTGTGCCATCTTAGTTGCCAGAGGGACCCCTCTAAGGTGAGTCAGGCACTTGAGGTGAGGTGAGGCAGGATCCAGAACCTTCAGGAAAATGCAGGCACAGGCTGCTTGGCCAAGTGGTCCATACATTCATTACTTATTATTTCTCTTCATTTATTGGGCTCATCTCTCACTTATTTCTCTCATTTTTTGTTTACTCCATGAGCCAAGCAGGGCTCTAGAGCTGTGGATACAGCCCTAAATCAAGAGAGGAGAGCCGTGCACCCATGGGGCTTAACTTCTTGTGGGGGAAGTGAACAATAAACATATGAATATAGGATATATGTAATAGGATGTCATGTTGTGATAAATACTGTGAAGGGAAATAAGGCAGAGGATGGAAAGAGAGTGGTGGTCCATGGGGGTGGAGGGAGGGTGGGGGTACAATTTTAAATAGAAAAGCCAGGGAAGGCCTCTGAGGAGAGGGCGGGTGCCAAGAACCGAATGAAATGAGGGAGTAAGCCAGTCATGGGAATCCCCAGGGAGAAGAGGAAAAACCAGCTGGGTGCAGTGTGTAGGATACAGCTTCAGGATGCCAGGTGAAGTCCTCAGCTGCTGGTAATAGGCATCATCTTAACTTCCTGAACTTGCGTCTGCAGCTCGAGAGGACAGATCATAGTTTCTATCCCCAGCGTTGTTGAGGGAATCAAGATAAATCCCACATGTGTAGGTGTTTTGTGCTAAGATGATCGTTACCCAGGTCCAGGGCTCAGTGCCACTCTGGTTCTAGTCCTGTAGTCCAACAGCACAGAACTGGACACGGGATGCCAGCTTCCCCAGTAGGATTCCGTGTTTCTTGTTCACCTCCATGTGAGGGTGATGCATCAAGTGCTAGAGACACACTGGGGAATAGGAGAAGCTCCTGGCCGGTGAGGAGCTCCCAGCCAGAGGGTGTCAC